TTTTAATGGTTTAACAATTTTAATCTTTTATTATGCATTGTTGTGCTTTGATCTTAGCATAAATATAGATTTAGATTCACAAATGCAAAGTTAGGTAAGGGTTAAAAGAACAAGATAAAAAAAAATATTTAAAAAAAAAAGATAAAATAAGGATAAAAAAATTAATAATAATAATAAAAAAAAGTACAAATAGGTAAGTGAAGACAAGTGTGGTATGCAGATGTCGATGTAGATGGATGTACAAAGGAGCTTAATGTGCAAAATTAACTTAATGTGCAAAGTGACCTGATGTGCAAAATTTTAGTTGAGGTAGGTCAGCTGTTCAGGAGTCTGATAGCAGTGGGGACGAAGGAGTTGTTGAGTCGGGATGTTGTAGATTTCACACTTTTAAACCTTCGTCTATGAAGGTGTTGGGGGTGTGTGGGTTCTTTGAGGATGGAGGCAGCTCTCCTCTGCTCTGCAGAGAGGGCAGTGGAGTCCTGATAATCTTCTCTGCAGTTGTTATCACTCCCTGCAGGCGTTTGCGGTCCATAGCAGTAGTGCTGCTGTACCATGCAGTGATGCAGCTGGTCAATGTGCTCTCCACAGTGCAGCTGTAGAAGCTGCAGAGGATCTTGGCCGACATATCAAATTTCCTCAACCAGCTAAGGAAATACAGCTGATGTTCACCTTCAAATCAAAAGGTTTGCCTTTCTACTGAAACCAACATGGTTCATAGGGTGATACTTTCACTTTGAAGGTGAAATTTACTTGCCTGGTTTCTTTCAGACGTGTTGGTCAAGACACCACGCAGCTGGTCAAGACATCTGCGTGGTGTTCAGTGTCCAGGTGAGGTCCTCACTGATGTGGATGCCCAGGTATCAAAAGCTGCTCACCCTTTCCACTTCACGCTCCCGGATAAACAGCGGCTGGTGAGGCCTCCTCTTCTTCCTCGTGTCCACTATCATCTCCTTTGTCTTATCAGTGTGGAGGTTAAGGTTGCTGTCCTCACACCATGACCCCAGACCGGCCACCTCTCTCCTGTAGGCCACCTTGTCCCGTCCCGTGATGCAACCGATCACTGCAGTGTCATCTGCAAACTTCAGTATGATGTTATCTTTGTTGGAGGCGACACAGTCGTGGGTGAACAGGGTACAGAGGATGGGGCTCAGGAGGCAACCCTGTTGGACACCAATGTTTGTGGTAATGCTGGCTGAAGTCTTGTTGCCAGCCAAGAAAGTCTTTCCACACTATGCAGGAACTGAGTCCCTGTTGTCATGGTAAGAAGGGTTGGGGCCTAAACGCAAATCTCTCAGACAGACTAGCTGAGAAAACTCCTCCAAAATTCAAAGAGGAAAACAAACTCAAGAAAGGATTTAAAATAAAGTCTTAAGGCTTCAGCAACGGTCGGCAGAGGTTTTATTCAAGACACCAACACGTCTGAAAGGACGTACTAGCTTACCACCAAGCTGAAACCAGACAAGTAGAATGTTCACCTTTAAAGTGAAAGTTTCACCCTATGAACCATGTTGGTTTCAGTAGAAAAGCAAACCTTTTGATTTGAAGGTGAACATTCTCAGTTTTTAGGTTGTGGCACACTTTTCACTCTTTCTCTACTGATTAAAAAACTAGTTGGCAAGTGTTTGCAACCAAGTCAGTGTCTACTGTGCACACAAAGAGCAACTGTTTCTGCTTGTGACCATAGGTAGGTTAAAGTGCAGCACCATATACTTCTTGGCAATCATGAGATCACTGACAGTCTGTAAATTTGAGTCTCTGTGCTTTAGAAAATGAGGTCCCAGTGACTGCCAGCAACTACATACAGGATTCCACTGAAACATGTCTTTAGGGCTTTGCAACTGGTAGCACAGGGTAAACAGGACACTCCAACATACCGAGTGCCAATCACAGGAGGTATCGGAAGGGAAATGTGGAACATAATCAGGGTAACTACAAAAATCAGACAAAAAACCCCACAATAAGCAAGACATGAGTGACAATAACTAACAAAATAACCACACAAATATGCTTATAAAGTGATAAAAAGTCATAGTGAGTAGAAATGTGATCCCCTAATAATCCTCTGATAATTGTGATAATTTTGTCATTCTTTTTCTAATCATTTATGTGTAGAGTGTTACTTAAAAAAAGTAAAAGTAAAAGAGGAAGTGCAAAAAAAACATAATTTAATCACTCAGATGGTCTAAAATTGAAAGTGATTCACACAAAAATAGCTGTTTCCTGTGGCACATGACGGAAACCCACATCCGTACGTGATTCTCGCCCAGAGATCATATTCAGCGAGTGTGTATTTTTTCTGTTTTTGTAACAGTCACTTTATAAAGGCCTGCATGTGTTGCGTTTAGGCAGGAGTGTCAAACATAAGGCCCGGGGGCAGGAATCAGCCTAGTGGAAACTCCAATCTGTGCCACTGGATAGCTTCAGAAAATGTGAAGGCGTACAGAGATTTAAAATGTCAAAACATTTTTACTAATTTAACAGCTTTATCCATATCAGTAACATTAAATTCAGTGGTCGAATGTTTGTGGATGCTGGAGGCATTCCCGCTCTTTGTTTTGATCATTGCTGGGGTCATTACTCAAAACTTAAAAAGTAATGCATTACGTTACTTAATTACACGCAGGACAAAGATGTTCTTTATGCTACTCGATAAGTTGCTTTCATGTTACTGTGTAAAATTATCTGAGAGTGTAAGAACCAATAAGCAGGATCGATATGCAGGCAGACTAAGGATTCTGGGGAATTGGACTACTGGGAACCAGTTCTCTACAAGAACCGGTTCTCGATTCCCATCTCTTTTCATACTGCATACTAAGTAATTAACTAAAACAGAAACAATTAAAAGACAGATTTATTCTTTAATAAAACAAACACATAGAAAGCACACATTTAACATGTAGTTTTCATGTTTGGGTTGCTTAATGTCAAAAATGGGCTGTATGTGGCCCACGATGTAAAATGAGTTTTACATCCCTGCATTTGGAGGACATTTGTCACATTTTTCTAATAGGGGTAATACATAAGTACACTTAGCTATTATTAATATCTGGTTTTCTTCCACACTATGAATATCTTCCTCTCCACACCCCAACGTGACAGATGTCTGCCACTCTTTTAGCCTGGTTCTGCAAGAGGTTTCTTCCTGTTAAAAGGGAGTTTTTCCTTCCTACTGCTGCCAAAGCGCTTGTTCATAGGGAGTTGTCTGATTGTTGGGGTTGTCTCTGTATTCATTTAGGGTCTTTACCTTCCAATATAAAGCACTTTTTCTCTTTTTGCTTACCTGCCATTAACTCTGCTCCCTTAGCTGAATAATAACGGAAAGTTAAAACATAACTTAATATTTCCCTGACACACATATGCAATGTGGAGCAAAGCCTCACAAAGTAAAGGAACAGATACACTGAGAATAAAAACAAAGACACAAGACAAGCACCACAAAACCCTCAAACAAAACCTCTAGACCCTGGAATCTAGTTTTTGATGTTTTTTTCAACATCAAGACTGTTTCTCTTAGTTTAGAAAAATAAAGTTCATATATACACTACAAGTCAAAAGTTTGGACACACTGAAGCAGCATGGCTACCACAGCATCCTGCAGCGATATGACATTTCATCTAGTTTGTGTTTAGTTAGACCATCATTTATTTTTCAACATGACAGTGATCCCAAACATACCTCCAGGCTGAGTGAGGGCTATTTGACCAAGAAGGAGTCAGTGCTGCGTCAGATGGCCTGGTCTCCACAGTCACATGACCTAAACCCTGTTGAGATGGTTTGGGATGAGATGTGAGAGTGAAGGCAAAATAGCCAACAAGTGCTCAGCATCTCTGGGAACTCCTTCAAGACTGTTGGAAAAACATTTCAGGTGATGACCTCGTGAAGCTCATAGAGAGAATACCAAGTGTGTGCAAAGCAGTAATCAAAGCAAAGGGTGGCTATTTTAAAGAATCTAAAATATAAAACATGTTTTGAGTTATTTCAAACTTTTATTTTACTTGTCCAACCTCTGGTAAAAATTTAATGCACAGCTTAAATTTCACTCACAAACAACTCAAACCCACAGGAAAGGTTTAAGAAGTGAAATTTAGTTGGGTCACCAAATGTAGGCTCATAGATTATAACGTATATGCTGAGTTTCAGTAGAGTTAAGAGTTAAGTTTCCCCTGTGATTTCACTCAGTGTGCACAAATGAATACTGTCTGAAAGTAGTTTTGTTCCAAAGACATGAAAGAGCGTACATCAAAATGTGTTTCCTGTAATAACTTTTTTCCTCTTTAAAATAGGCCAGGAACACTGAGTTGGCTACTCGTTCACCACTTTGGGGAGCAGATGCATTGTGTGGTGAAACTGAGCGGTTTTGTTTTGGGGGGGGAGGTTTTCCACTGTGTTATGAAAAAGTGAATTTAGGTCACTCAGCCACAAACAGTCCTGCCTCTAATGTCTGCACTGTTGCACTGTTGATCAAATAACTCATTTAGGTGCATTGCATTGGAAACATTTTTGCAATCCACCCACCCAACCCTCAGTACATCCTGAAATTTATTCAACTTGGAGCCTAATCCTCTTTTTTTAAAATAAACAACCAAAACTAATCGAACAACCTTCTTTGAGAAGTTAATATTAACCAACATCACAGATGTAGGCGAGACAGTGGCCATAATTTTGACTTGACTGAACAAAATCACTCCACGTGAGACGTTCTAATTGCAGAGTAGATTGGGTCATTGACTGTGTCCTTTCTTTGTCTTCTACTTGTCTCAGTCTTTTTCTTGAAATTCACAGTTGCATACTGCACAACAGCACAGTCTTCAGTCTGTGGGAAATACAAAAGCCATATGATAGAATTTGTCCATATACAGTGGAATGCAAAAGTCTTCATCCACCCCTCATTTTTTATATTTTACTAGAAAAATGTGAAATATGTGGAAATACAGTTTAAAAGAAAACGGCAGGCTTTGTACAGTTCCAACAAGTTTGAACATTTTTGTATGAACACTCTAACCCTGTTCAACACAGCCTTAACTCTTAGTCTTTTTTTGTAATTTATTTAGTAGTCTTTGGGAATAGTTCTCCAGAACTGAAGAACACAAAGCTCTTCTTTGAACATTGGCTGGTTTTTGTTCTGCTCTCTGTCAGGATGATCGGGCCTCTGGGGAGGCCAGTTCATGACTATACATATAGGCTTTTACTGGACTGGCAGCATGTTTGGGATCATTATTATTAAAAATTAAATGGATTAAAATCTCAATCTACTTATTTTCCCTTTATTCAATCAATTTTGACAAAATGTGCAACATCATTGGCTAAATGCAGCCCCAAACCATGACAGAGTCTCCTCTGTGGTTGATAGATGGCTGTAGACACTCACTGTCATGTCTCTATCCTGACCTCCTCCATACATACTAACGATGATGTGAACTGACATTTTCTCATTTAGATTTTTCACTCCATAAAACCTGCTGCCGGTGGTATACTTCAGGTTTTTCTCACCTGATGGATCAACTGAAAGACCGGATGCATCTCTCAGAAGCTGTGTCAGGTCTTTGCTGGTGATTTTCTTATTTCTTAAGAACACGATTCTCATTTCCTACTCATGCGTGCAAATATTTATAGACACACTGTGTTGAGATATACCAAGCATTTGGCTCACAGATCCTTTTGTCTTGTTGGTGCAAAGTTGCTATTTTATGTCTGTCACACTGTGTATCTTTGGCATTTTTGGAAGCTTCGGCTAAAGAAATAGGAAGAAATTATGTGCTGTGCCTAAAGATACAATTTAATATTAGTTCATTGTCAGTTTTGGGGAGTAACGGAATACATGTACCGGCGTTACGTATTTAAAATACAAAATATGAGTAACTGTATTCCGTTACATTTACCGTTTAAAAAGGTGGTATTCAGAATGCAGTTACTTTGTTGAAATAAATAGATTATACGGAGGTCTTTTCCTGTTTCATATGTTAGGCTATGCTCTATTTTTGGTAATTCCACATTGGTGGAAACCAAAACAAAACACGCA